CAGCTTTTGACAACTGTACTACCACTGAAGCAACAAAGATAAATAGACTTAAAATCTATTTTTCTTACTCGCGCCCATACAAAGATAGAACTGTGATGCGATGTTTGTGACGCTTATGATGCGACGTAAAATGGAATAGCAGTTTACAAAAGTTTGTAATATTTTTTTTTGAAAATGTCTGAATTTTTACCTATTGTATCTCTTTTTGCGACTTTTCGAAAAAAAATATAACCATCATTGCCAAACTGTTACTTTTTTATTTTTTCTGGCTAGTGAGAGATATCAGCAAATTCAATTGAATAGAAGTGTTGCATATAATGGAAAATTTTCAACATTCCAACACTAACATTTTCTTTATTAAGAAAAGTGTCGTCATATTTGTTTTCTCTGTCTTTAAAAACAGTTATGAGAAAAGATAATACACTCAGGAATGCGCTGGTAAAAACTGATTGTAATAACAAAAAGACAAATAAACATCCAAGAAGTATATCATAATATTGATATAGCAACGTCATAATTAACGAAAAATCACACAAAGCCAACATGCTATAAATTCAACTATAAATCCAAAAATTATAACGTTACATTAAATGTATTTGTCCTATCATCGATTAGGATAACTATAACACAACAAATGAGACTAAATGTATAAAAATTGTGGTGGAAACTCTGCATTTGCATGCAAAACAGTTAAAAGACTTGTCAAAACAGAAAGATAAAAATAAGGGGAATAGTAAAGCTTGGGCGAACTGACTTCGAGGCGTCGGTGGAGTGCGTTGATTTGGCACATGTGGGCTGGCGAGGGCGCCACTGTCGCCCTCCGGCTTCCCCCTACAGATTGACGTAGGTAGGCGCCTGTGGAGACGCCTGGGTAGCCCCACTGATCACCGCGCCCGCACCAAGAAGTTGTCCCGACGACGACGATCCAGACGACGTAGACGAGCTGGACGACGCCGAGGCCGCCACGCCGCTAACGCCTACGATAGTGCCACCTGCGCCTAATACTGGCAGTACCGGACTTCGCGTGAGAGAAATTAATAGTGAGTCTTAAGTGATGACACAGGCTACTGATAACAATCGAATAAGGACAATTGTTTCCTAGATATCTAACTAAATTACTCTAGCTGGATGAAAATCAATATTTCAAGACTTGGACTAAATATAAAGAAATATTACGATAGAAGAGGGGCTAATGTTTTTGTACGGACCTTCTAGCGCCTAAGTTGTAAAAGATATCGACATACGATTTGCAGTAAAAGTTCAAAGTATGTTGTAACTCAGAAAATAATATTGCCACATCTATTTCTTCCGCGTTATAAAAGAAACATTTTCTTTTTGTTACTTGCTTATCTCTTTAACATAAACAACACCAAATTTTATTATGTGATAACTGGCACGAAAACTTATTTAATGAACTTGAACATTAGGCTTTTGTTTTCAGGACACCAAGTTTGAAATAAAAAAAATTCCATAACTCTAGTTGTATTGAACCTAACGTATCGGCTTTCTGAAAAAATGTTGATGGAAATTTTTCCTACTCCTAAATAATAAATACATATTATTACTGCTATAGACGCTTGAGTTTTGAACGATTTTTTAATCGCTTTTAATAAAAATTTAGATCTGTCATTTTGAAAGATATTGTATACCTTCTATATAAGTCTTAAGAAATTGCAGCTATGGTCAAGTACTTTCAAACTAACTCTAACTTGCTAAGATTTGTGTTTTAGGACCGGAGATGTAGGGGGTCAAAAACCAAACTTTCACGAGAAGACATGGCGTGACGTCCTTTAATCGGTTTAGTTTGATTCAATCATTATTTGTCTATGACGTCATTTTGAATTCCGCCATTATGAATAAGTTTTTTATTTCTGTATATAGACTAATCTCTCATACATTCTGATAAGATTTCAGCAGAAATAAATTTGCATGGATTAAAGCATGTTGTAGTCTAAGTCAGGACGTCTCTGGTTTAATAGTTTCAAATTAATTAATAATGAAATAGGATTAAAGTTATGGTGGTCTAAAATTCTAATTTTGAATTTTCAAAACCTTTGTTTTATGTACTGGATTTATTGGAATGGCAAATATGGAAACTTTAACTTATTTTGACTTAGACGGTGTTTCGACAGTAATTTCCTCCATTATCAGGTGTCTATTACACGCCGAACAGACTGGGCTTTTAACATTGATTACACGAGCCCGGGACTTTTTTACGCCCTTGCGGGACCTTTTTTTCCCAAAATTCTTATTTCGGCCAATTTTTTCTCGGGAAGATCGCGGTAAACGATCAGATCAGCTTCACTTATTTAACGTTGCATAGGAATTTCCACCGTGAAAATTCTCATTTTCGTGAAAAACAAGTTTATACACTCAGCGGTGTGACAGAATGAAAAAAAGATTCGTCTGTGTACGATTCCTTTTTCAAGTGTCGTCACAGCTCGGGCGATTAGCACAGCCGCTCGGCACTCGTCGGACTGTTCTACTCTTGTGCCAATGTGTTTGAACGTCACTCCGAGGCCAATATTTTGGATATTGACAAGAAATGTTTAATTTTTCGTGAAATGTGTGAAGAATATTGCAGAGAAGTGAGAGTAGAAGATGGCTTCAGACAAGAAACAGCATCTTCTACGAAGGATTAGTGACTAGTAATTATGATATTTTCAGGGGAATTCTTTCAATATCTCATCTGAATATTGCAGAATCAGTGCACCTTCTGCACTTTCTGGACCAAAAGAGCCCCGGATAAAGATCAACGCGTTTCGAATGAATGTAATTCAATCTGATTCTCGACTCTAGATCTCGCTGATGCTCTTGCTAGCGTTTACTCGAAGATTTCACCATCCGCGGTATTACATACAGGACTTGCAATGTAATAAGTCACGAACTTTATATTTTCATCCCAATTATTAAAAAAAAAACATCATGTAACAACCGGCACCAAAAACTTCCACATAAAAAATTGCTTAGTAGTTTTGTACAATTTAAATTTTATAAAGAAATAAGAGAGATAAAAATACTGCATTAAATGTACTTTAAATTCGTGTTTTTTGCTATAACGGAGCATTAAATTGTTAATTTGAAATAATTTGTGTCGATTCCCGCGATACTTTGCTGTCTGCAAAGTATAACTGAGTATTTACCGATAGCGCCGCGTTTAGCATTAAAATCGGCGTTGTCTGTCTCACTGTAGCACAGAAACACAAAAGCGCAGAAGCGTTAGAGCAAATAAGGGGTCTTAAAGCGAGTGTCCTAAAGAGAAGTCTCCGCTCGAAAAAGTCCCTCGACTGTTATAAAGGTTGAGTCTGTTCGGCGTGTTAATGTGTATTTTAAAATTATTGTTAGTTATGTATCGCAACTTTTACGTCTAGAAGTGTTTACGTGTAGGTTAGGTGAATAAGTTGGTATTATTTTCTTGTTTACGTGAAACTGTATGTGGAATAAGAACACAATTGAATAAGACATATACTTAAGAAAAGTATAACTAGAGCCAAAATCTCTAATAAGGTAAGCCTTCCTTGCAGCCAGTGAAGAAGATGCGCTGAACAACGAGAATTTTGGATTGAAACAATTTTCCCGATCTCGTTTATTGATAGATCCAATTTTTTAATCTGAGATAAAAAAAAACGGATCTAATGTAATCCGGAGAGTGTACGCCGAGCCACAAGCAGTTCGGGCCACTTCGGCCGGATTTAACTGAAATTCAGCGTCTTTCCAACCCCGACTCTTAGTTACTAAGAAGAGTTTAATGAGGCAATGTGTAAATTTGAGAGTTAGTGCGCTTGAAAACATGGATTTGCGCATGCCGTTTAGTCTAAGGTTTTCTCCATGTCGGATCAATCAAAATCAAAATAAATCCTGCTTAAAAATTCCCGCCAATACGTGGCATAAACGATGCTGACAGAGAAATTCCACCTTGACGTCTTTTCGAGGAGAGTTTCCATCTCCAAACCCTCATAATTCAAAACTAATCATCAACTATACTGCTCTAAACATTATTAAAATTGTATAATAAAAATATAGTGTCAAATGCCATAACACAAAGGCATATTACTTAGTTATTTACTTAAGAGGGCATTACATCTTAGATTAGCAGTTTAGTCTCTTTGTCCTTTTGTGGGATACTATTGGGGATAGCATAATGGGCCCGTTTGATGACCTGGACGCTATAGGCGCATTACCATACGCCTCACTCACCATTGAATCTAATCAAACTATAAGTGGTTCTAACGCCCATCTTTATATATAGAGACCATAATTTTAAGGCAAATATCGTGTCTGCTAAGATTGTGAATATCTAAGTCACTTGAATCACTTTCGAGGGGTAGGGGCTAACTACCCTAAGTATTAAGACAGATTTTAATTTCATCTATGTGCAGAAAGGAAAGTTATGATTTTGGAATGAAGACTTCTAGTGCTCTTTTTTGTGAGAAACTGTAAATTCATTGGTACAGATAACCAATATGTATTTTTTTTATTTGCCACACAAAATATAAAGGTGCTTAGATTCCTATAAACTGAAATCTGTTGTAATTTTTAATAAAAATTGCCTAAAGTTCTGTGTAATACAACAAAATAGATTTTCGTCAAAATATACTAAGATATGCCTCAAGCATTTTGTTTTTAATCAAAATTCAGAGAATCAATATTAAATAAATTCTATGATAAGTTCAGGTTTTTTCTATAGAAAATAGGGCAGATTTAATGAACGACTGACGTTGTTACCTATTATCCTTATTCGATTGATTATTACATTAGTAGCGTTTGTATTTCGAAACGTGTGTCAGGATTTCCGTGTCGGTTTGTAAAAAAGAACTTGGAAATGGTAAAGGGCATATACATATATAATTTTCATACAATGAAGTATAATTGTCAACGTGGCCACATTATAGAAAAACAAGTAAAATGGAGTCGCAGTCAAATTATAACATGTTAGCTTCGTGTCCTTGTAGGTAGAAGGAAAAATAAATTTGGGTATGTGGTCGTCAATGTGGTCATACCTGCAAGGTTTGCACCACTGATTCTGTTGATCTAGTCCGAATCGAGCACGACACTTCTTCATGTTGTTACCTGTAGATAGGGGAAGATATATTGTTAGATCTGAGGGTGGTGAGCACGAAAGGATAGGCGTGGGAGGGTGTCAGCAGAATGTCACACTGGGTGGCGTTCAACATTTGTCTTCATTTGTTTCTATACCTCCGTCAGTGGCATCTTTGCGCTTCCTCTTCTTGCCACGCGACGAATTGGTACGTGAACTCCAGTCTGGATACATTTGCATGTGCAACTGACGCTCACGTCGCGCTAGCTCATAATATTTCGCCTGCTCGTCCCGTCCGAGTGCATGCCACTGTGTGTGTGTGCCGCCAGAGAAAGATTAATTTGTCAATGGAGCTACGAAATGGCATGTTTTTCAACTCAGTAATCTCTCTCAATTGATCAGCACAGGATAATTGTAATATTCGTCTGTATATTAATTGCATTGTTGCCATTTCACAATTGTCACGCCACGCGGGACTAAAAGAGGCCATTGAAATCGATTATAATCAAAATTCATTCTTCTTTAAACCTCACACTCCAGCACTACCATAACAGTGGATTTGAGCATGGAAAGGGATTAATACATGTATTACAAATAATTATTGAATTACACGATAATTGGTAGGATGGAGTGTACACTACAACTCTTTCTTGTGAGCCCTCGCGTACTTGGCCAATTACTCGCGTGCATAACGAAAAACAAAGTATTATGACTAAACCAAAGATGACATTAATGCCTTGAAGGCCCACGGCATGTTACGATCAAAAACGAATTTTAACAGAAAAAAGCAATAAGGAATTCACACATCCACCCCGAGTCCAATTTATATGTCCAACCGCACCATTGGCATTCTGCTTTCACCACTCTTTTGAAGAGAAACAGTGTGAAATGGAATAGGTCACACCGTATAACGTCTCTACACGACAAAGGTCACTGGAGATGACGTCATGGTGATCCCATGGAAAAGGTATTGTTTTTTGAGTTATGAGAGGTCTAACGGATCTCAGACATGATGGATAATTGATAAGGTAAAGAGGGAGGATAAAAGATAAAAAACATACAAGAAAATTACAGTAATAAAAGAATGATTAATACAGAAAAAAGTAGTATAAATTGACAAATATAATAGAAATAAAAAAATTCTTTAGAGATTTCTATCTTTGGCATATACCTCCCGAATCCGCGGGTGATCTATCTTTTTTGCGCTTTTTCTTTTTCGAACCGTAACCATAGTTGTCGCGTGCACTCCAACCCGGATATAATTCCATGTGCAATTGTCGCTCTTGTCGGGCTTTTTCATAGTACTTGCTCTGTTCATCTCGACTCAGTGAGTGCCACTAAAGGTTAAGGAAGGATGTGGACAAAAATATTAGTTAAGTAAATTTGATTGTGAACACTATCACACCTTTGAAACACCCTTTTCTGTCACTTTCTTCTCTGATTTTTTCGCAAATGATGTTTTATTATAAAATATCTTTATAAAAAGACATATTGGTTAAAGTAGCAAAAAAAAACAGACTACAGAACTCAAAGAAGAAAATAACAAAAATGAATGTCAATTTACACCGAAAATATTACATTATTATTCTCATCTGCTCTCTTTCAGTGTACAGGCGTCGACCGATGTAAAATAACAACAATTTTTCTGTGTTGTACAATAGTTCGGAAAACAATATATTGCTTTTTAACATAATAATCCTTATTTTTGGGCATATATCCACTAATCTGTGTGTCGAGCTCTTGAGAGAGAGAATGAGAGATTCTCATATCTTTGTGTCAACGACATTGACAGGGAATGATCATCTTTCAATATGAGAGGAAAATTCAGTTGAATAAACGGGCATACACAGAATCACGCACAACCATGATACGAAGACACACACAACATACACACGCACACACACACACACACATGTTTTAATTAAATAATACAACTGTTTCACAGAAGGGGTCAATATTCAACAAAATTTATGTCTCAAGCTTTCTTAGGCAAGAACTTACCCTTCGACCGAGAATTTGATTGATGGCAGCCGATTCTTTCAGTGTACATTCGGCCACTACTTTGGCACGCATCTCTTTCATGTATAGCATAAAAGCGTTGAGAGGTTTCTTGATGTGAGGCTTCTTTTTTTCATTAGCATCCTTTCCATCCGGTATGGCTGTGGCGCCACCGCCGGTGGCGCCACTTATTGAGCTTCCGCTACTACCTATATTTTTCTGATCCACTGACCTGTAATTAACATATTTTCTGTATGTTTAACAGGTAAAAAAATTGATTCAATGCTTTATTGTTTAACTCTGCATTCTTAAACCATATAATTTGATATGAATTAAAAAAAAAATATTATTAACCGATTATATTAATATTTTTACTGACATATGTAAATGTTTGTTGGTCTGGTATAAAAAAGGGGATTTGACAACATTTTGTCTCTTTTCCTGCCTTCGATGACCCAAACAGGAGCGTGAAGAGATAAATTCTTGAACGAAAACCTCCAGCTTACTTCTTCACGAGAATATTAGGAATAGCACAAGTGATAGGATAAAAAGACACAAGTAGATTGTCTTGCAATGCATAGGAGCTTAGATACATGAGAGACTTTCAGGGGAAGAACATTGTGCTTCTAAAGAGGATTAAATTCAATTTGCAGCATCATCTACTTCTATGTTAATATACTAGGCGGCCGTGGTGCAGTCGGTAAAGCGCACGATAGAGGACATCACGGCCGTGTGTTTGATCCTCATCACTTGCAAATGATCGAACACAACAGATGCGAAAAATATTAAGCCCTTCAATGGCAAATATAAAAAATTCCAGCCCAAATAAGGTTGCTGTTAAATGTTCCAACTGAAGTAGAAACTTCTGTGGAAGTGTATTTCGCATCTGTCCTTACTTACAGATGGGCACAATACTAGACTAGTGTCGCTTGTAAATAGCGATATCGTCGGCAAACACGCTCAAGGTCAAGCTCTGCTAGTCTGTGAATTTGACTGGCTGACTTGAATAGCCTTGCCTCTGAGTGGGAAAAATCAAAGGATAACGGGGGAGAGGGACGATATAATAACAATGAAAAATACACAAGACCAAAGCTGTACCGTCTGAAAATTAACCAAAAATCTGGATGACTGGTTAGCTTTGTGTCTTGGCCCTTAAGTGGGAATTGCTCCTGATGATGCATAAAGGGCCCGTAAGTTGGCCTGGATGCTGTGGTATATAAGAGTTATCTTACGCCACCCCCTCTTCTAATCTAATCTATGTTAATATACTACACCTCGGAGACAAGTCAGAATCTTTGTGACAGAAGAATCATAGTTATTTATGGTGAAAACACAGCATTTCTGTGCGACTCTACACACGAAGATAGTATCTCAATAGAGTAGGAAGGAAAATACACGATACGCGTGGTGAAAAAAGAGATGACGAAGTCGACCATATATCGGCAGACAAATGCTTTGTTTTCACCATTAGAGCAAATGATAGATCGGATTTATTTTTTGAGATCAGCCGGTTCTAACAAAATCGGAAAATTATATAAAAATGTATATACTAAGGGAACTGTGGTTTAATCGACAGTTTGAATATGCACATTTGCCGACAATATTCGAGAAATAAAACGGTTACGGAGAGATAGGCTTTTTTCTAGATACATTTGACAGTTTTTCTACCTTCTTTATATTTTACAGCTTTAGACTAGCGTCATTTGACAGCTTGGATGTACAGTGACTCCAAATCCAATAGCGCCACCCGAGGCTCTAAGACATATCGATGTGCCTCGAATTTTCACGTAAAGCTAGAAGTCTGAATTTTTCCACCAATCTTCCCTCGTCAATAAGGAATTACGATGCTTAGTTTCAAGACATTCAGCTAATCCCTTTTTCCTCTCACTCCACAGGTCAAGGAATCTTCCAAGCGCGAGATTTTAGCATTGCCAGATTATCAAAGTGATTATCAGAGCGCTTATCTGATTCGTCCGAACACTCTGGCAATTCGACGCAAACTCGAAAAATTCAAATGTTGCCTCAAGTGGCCCTATTTGAATTGGACGACTGTTCCCTACGAGTCACTGTATATCTCCATACAGTGTAGAAAATAAGGTGAAAAGTAACGGTTCGTTAGAGTGCATCAAGGAGCAGTGGCTCAAACAGTGATCGAATTCAACCCTCATATATCTCCATACATGGAGAACGAGGAAAATTGCTCCGAACAATTCTGGATATACAGACCAAAAAAGCGTCAGCATGCCCTACATCGCCTTAAACTTCGCATGCCCCCCCCCCCCCTCCCTTTGCTAGAGAAGTTTTCAGAAGACTCTCAATAAGAAGGCTACCGACGATAACTAGAGGCAATGGAAATGTCAACTAGAATTTCGGAAATCAGATCCTTTCATAAATGAAAGTGGCAGGTGGAGAAAAAAGGCACTTAGCCTCGACAGATCTGCGCTGAGAACCCTCACAGGATTTCTCACGAACAACTGTACATTAAATTCACACCTTCACAAAATGGAACTGACAACCAATGTTGTCAAGAATTCATCGAGGACAATATCCACATTCTCTTTTGATGCCCGGCACTACTGCAGCAGAAGCTAAGGCGCTTGAAATCCCTTAAACTCTTTCCCTAAGAGATATGCTATAATGAAGGCTAAAGAAATTCTGGCTTTCTCCTGCGCTATGGGGTTCGAGCTCAACCGTAGGGTTAGCTTTCTGGAATTGCGGTGCCCTAGGTCCCAGAAACTTTTCATCAATAAATAACAATAATGCATATAAACTCTCACAAATTTTCAGAGGTTCATATCAATATGAGATTGTTACAGCAACTCTCAAAATAAGTGAATTGCAGGTCTAGATGATTCAGAAGACCAAATATACTTTAGATGCAGCGGCCTCATAGTACAGTAGATAGCGCTTTCGCCTAGCGACACAGAGGACCCAGAATCAATTATCGTCGAATACTTTTGACGTCAAGGGATAAAAAAAAAACTAATGAATGGCTGACAGAAAAAAAGTCGCTATTGATTACCAACCGGAGAATGTACATCAGTAGACACATTTGCTTTGCAAAAATTAGTAATGCATTCAAGTGCTGAGTTGTTATATTATATGGTCAATAACAATCGGTAATCAGAAAAAATACGTAAAAAAGAAAATAGTATTATCAATAGCCCTCAATTATCAATGCATCTTGAATACATTGGAATAATACAAATGGAGAACTAAGAAGACATAATAATTTAAGAAAGTAATAGTAGACGATATCTGTTAATAACTGTATATTGGTTAAACTGAGATGGAGCAAAAGAGCACGATTCAGATAACGACAACAATGCACGGTCGGAATGGACCATCCACCTTGATAAATTCTTAACCTCATACTTTACAATGGAATATTGAACAAAGGTTGCGAATAAGTGCTTGGATCTATCCAAGCACTTCAATAGATTGAAACAAGTATCTGGAATTGTTCATGAGAACAGGAGGTGACTTGCCCATGGTGCGCTCGCTCTCCCCATCGCAGAGTCGCACGCGACTCAGCGACTTAACGGAGGATAACGCGCGATCAAGGAGAGCATTCATGAGCGCACCATTACATGCACTATCACTTGCGTAATGCAGTGATATCAGCGGGCATTGGCCTGAACAGCTGGAGAACTTCCAGTTCAAGGTCAGCTGCTCTGGACACTGGACCACAAGTCCACTACACCACTGGAGTACAAGTGCACTCGTGAAACAATTTTTGGGCAGCAATGAGCCCAATTTTGTCGTCCAATTTTATTCTTTGTTCGTTCCTGTGAAGTTTTCGTATTAGTTTAGTAGTTAAGTTAGAGGCGCGTAAGATAGTTAAGTGAGGATCGTTGCTATGCGGGAGGATAAAATAGAAATGAAAAATACATTTAAGGAATTAAGGGGAAGCCAAATTGTGCGTTTGAGTGAACTGTAAGGAGATGAGGACGCCGTGATTTCGCGCCAACTCGCCGAAGAGACCCAGAGTGGAATTGCCCCAGTAATCTGTAGCTCATGAGAAAGATTTTTTTTTTAATCCTTTTCCCCAGATCTGCTAATAGGGTGACTTTCCATCTCCTTCACAGGTGCGTAAATTGATTGTTTGGCTGTTTCGGGGAGATTCGCGAGACACCTTGCTCTGCCGCTGAATTAATAGGAATTTATTCTCTCATATCAAGGTAGGAGAGCCTTCCGAAGCCCAGAAGGTGAACCGAAGGGGCGACAGTATAGAGAATATCATAGAGAATATTTCTTCTTCACACAAAAGTTGATGACGACAGAAACTTTACAAGCTGGGGGAAGTCCAGTGGATTGAACAGAAAAAAAATATTTTGAAAAGTTATGGAAGTTTTCTTTTAATTTGATAAGATTGCGGATGGTGACTTGAGAGCGATTGTATCGAGAAACTGAAAATCCACAAAGTTTCCAACAAAGAATTCAAGGAATAGAACACGTGAGGAAAGTCAAGAGATAAAAAAATAGATTAAAACATAGACATAAAGGGTTCAGAAAACCTAGGTGTCTGAATAAGTCCTTCGCTACATGCAATAAGCATAATTCTGCAAACTCTAATCAAGTTAATATGAGTTTTAGATGCAAACAAATGAAAATGATTTACTTCTTCTATTATTTCAAACTCTTGTTTTATGAAAAAAAAAAATGAATTAGATGATATAATTTAAACTAAGGTGATGTGTATAAAAAAAATTTAATTTTCATTGAATAATATGGATTCGGTGATACCGAAATATAAAACACTACTTTATTGAACGGGTAGTGATAGCTATTTTAGTATATTACAATCTGAAAAATTTAATTTGAGTTAAATATATAAAACATAAAAGAAATACCCAAAATAGAGCTTTGATACAATTTATCTACATTGATGAAGTCAAAAGTATATAGATAAATCGATGAATATTTGAAATAATAGTCATTGATATATAAGAACTAAATTTAACTGAAAAAAATTGAAAGATAATGATGACCTCGAATCGTCGTATGCGCCGAGGAGACCTGATGTTTGTGCTCTTTTGTCTAAGTTATTGTTGTCACTCAAGTGGCGTTGCAGCTGCATTTTGAAGTAATACTCAGAAACTATGTTCTGCTCCAATAACTTGTTGATGATTGTAAGTAGGTTGCTGGTTGCGATCTTATTTGTCAGCATATTTGTATGTATGAGATTACTGAGTGCATCATGTTGTTCTACTCGTCCCGCAACAACATATT